CATACATACATACATACATACATACATACATACATACATACATACATACATACATACATACATACATACATACATACATACATACATTATCTTTACCCACTTCTTCCTTTTCGGCTCACGGGGTCACTGGTGCCCATGTCCAGCCATCACAGTCCATCACAGGGACACATAGAGACCAACAACCATTCACTGTCTCACCTAGAGACAATTCAGGGTTACCAATCAGCCTAGCATGCATGTTTTTGGTCTGTGGGAGGAAACTGGCGTACCTGGAGAAAACCCACGCATGCACGGAGAGAACATGCAAACTCCACCCAGAAAGGCCCCCCGGAGCGGGATTTGAAAAAGTATTTATTCTAATTAAATGTTCATCCAGTCAATCCTTGATAAAACCTCCTTTCACTACCTGTCTGTTGAGGTTTATCTCCAACACGTTCTACAAACACAGTCTGATGTTTTCTCATTCTTCTTCGTAAAACAGCTTCAGCTCATTGAGGTCGGGCGGAGGGCGTCTGTGAACAGCATTTTTCACTCCTCACCACAGACTCTCTGTTGGATTGAGGTCTGGACTTTATCTTTCTCATTCTCACACGTTTGGTCTGACCCATTCCACTGTCTATCAGTGTGGATGTTTTGGGTTGTTGTCCTGCTGGAAGGTGGACCTCTGCTCCAGTCTCAAGTCTTTTTCAGCCACTAAAAGAGTTGAAGGGGTGAATGGATTGTTCTGTCTTTAGCTCCATCTACCTTCTCATCAGCTCTGACCAGCTCCCCTGTCCCTGCTGAAGAAAAGCATCCCCACATCATGATGCTGCACTTTGGCCAAAGAATTCAACGCCTATGTTTGTAGCAAAGTGCAAACAGGACTTCTTATGGCTTTCTTCCTGCGACTCACCCGTAAAGGTTAGATTTGCTGTTGTGGGAACAAATTGTCCCAGTTGAGCTGTGGTTCTCTGCAGCTCTCCAGAATTACCATTGGACTTCTTGTCCTCTTCTCAAATGATTGCTCTCCTTTCCCAGTTCATCAGTTTAGGTGGATGTTCATGTACTGGCAGGTTTTCATTTGTGTCGTACTCTTTCCATTTTTCAAATGATGGACCGAACAGAGCTCTGTGAGATGTTCAAAAAGATGTTGTTTTATAATTTAATCTTGCTTTAAACTTCTCAACAACGTAATCCTTGATCTGTCTGGTGTGTTCCTTGGTCTTCATGATGCCACTTGATGCCTGGAGTTCTGTTAGAAACCTCTGAGATATTCACAGGAAAACTGGCTTTTTACTGAGACTAAATTATACTCAGGTTACTCTTATTTACTAAGTGACTTCTGAAGGCAGGTAGGCTTTAGCTTTGAGTACAGGGGACTGAACACAAATTCATGCCGCACTTTTCAGACTTTTGGTTATTAAAATATGTGGAAAAACGTGTGCCATCTTCCTTCCACTTCACAGTTATGCACCACTTGGTGTTGGTCTTGCTCATACAGTAAAATCTTTGAAAAATTTTGAAGTTTGTAGTTAGAACGTGACAAAATGTGATGAAGCTTAAAGTTTCCTTTTTTAGCAATTCTCTGTGAAACACTAAGGTTTTTATGACTTGACAATAATATTGAGTTTGTTTTCCTTAATTTTCATTCAGAAAATGTTCATTTAATCAAAACAGAGAAAATCCATAAGAATAATTTTTCTTCCAAGTCCTAAGCGGTAACTGAAACACCATTTATGATGAAGCCACAGTAAATAAAGTCTGATGAAGTTCACATCTAATTTAGATGGACTGAATGTGAAGTTACTTTGTGCTGCGTACAGAATCAGCACATTTAGTGTAATAGATGTTTCAGTGTTTAACTGTAGATTTTTTCCTCTGCAGGCTGCACAAACAGATGACCCCCTGAAGACAGCGGATGCTGTGGTGTCCGTCACAGTGGAGGATGTGAACGATAACCCTCCAGAGTTTGATCAGTCTGACTACTCTGTATCTCTCCTGGAAAACTCTCCCGTTGGCGTTGTTCTGTTGAAAGCTGCTGTCACTGATCTGGACCAGGTGGATTTTACTTCGCATCACTTAGACACTACCTAGATGTCATTTTCAGTTTCTTAACAGCTTGGTGCAGATGTATAATTTCATTCATTCCCCTGTGTGGTGTTCCTCAGGGAGGATTTGTGGGAACCCTGCAGATTCTTCCAGAATCAGCTCCTTTCTCCATCAGCTCTGATGGGACAGTCAGAGTAAAGAACTCCACAGTTCTGGACAGAGAGGCCACAGAGACCATTACATTTCAGGTGACCTGGAGCTCAGATTAAAAAAACTCAAACTGTTGTGGCCTGAAGGCTTATTTGATCAAATATTACCATACCATACCATACCATACCATACCATACCATACCATACTACTTTATTTATAAAGCACTTAAAACAGCTACAAGGCCAACCAAAGTGCTGTACAGACAAAACAACAGGTAACACACAAAGCAACATAGAAAATGAGGTAAATCAGAATATAGACATAAAAACGATGCAGATAATGAGGACAAACCAGTGTGGAGCATACAGGATCAAAACACAGATCATCTGGTGTTGAAAGCTGCTGAATAGTAATGAGTTTTTAAACGTGACTTGAAAACAGAGAGGGAGGGGGCCTGTCTGACAAGCAGAGGTAACTCGTTCCAGAGTCTTGGTCCTGCTACAGAGAAGGTCCTGTCACCTCTGCGCTTAAGACGAGTTCCTGGAACTGTGAGGAGCAACTGGTCCGCTGACCTCAGGGAGCATGGTGGGACATACGGTTGTAGCAAATCAGAGAGATGGGGGGGGGGGGGACACTGTTCAGTGATTTGTAGACATACATGAGTATTTTGAACTGGATTCGAAAGTGAACTGGTAACCAGTGCAGTGAGGCCAAAACTGGTGTAATGTGCTCTCTTTTGCCTGTACTGGTTAAAAATCGGGCTGCTGCATTCTGGACCAGTTGTAGTCGTGCAATGGAGGTCTGACTGATACCAAACAGGAGTGAATTGCAGTAATCAAGCCTAGATGTAATGAATGCATGTATTACTGTCTCCAGGTTCTTTTTGGACAATATGGGCTTCAGTTTAGACAGCCGCCTCAGCTGGAAGAAACATGATTTAATCCTGTTTACATATTCAACGTGAAACTTTAGCACGTGGTCAGATTTAATTTGAGACAAACAGTTTTGAGTAGAAGGTTGTTGACATTTAGTATTCAAATGAAAATCTGTTGCCTCAGCGTGGCTGTGGAACAAACCAACTTTGTCTAGTGTGTTACTGTTTGTTTGTTGTTGTTTTGTTCACATTCAGAAACATGAGCTACCTTTTTCTTTATTGTGTTTATAATTTTTCTGGCCATAAAATGAGCTCAACAGTCAGTTGGTTTTTTAAACCACTTTACTTTTTCACAAAAAGTATATAT